CGTGCAATTCCTGTAGACTGTACAATGTGACAAAGCTTTCATAATACTTTTGTTTGAGGTCCCCTTGCATTGTGAAAAGTGGGTTATGGACATTTGTTTACTTTTTTGTTTCTGAGCTTGAGGAATTTATGGACCGTTTGATTAGATCTAGTTGCAATTCAATTACGGCATAATTCTTTGGCTATTCAAATTACAGTGTTTAGTTGGAGATTGAATTGCAATTCCTTCGTTTTGTTGAATTGCAGTTCATACCCTCCCCATATGAATTGCAATTCAATGGATGAAGGGAAGTGAAAAAAGAAGAAAAAGATTTTTTTTACCCTTAATTATGATTAGTATTATTATATACAATGACATTTTAGTTTTTATATGACTTCTTCCTTTTTCATCAACTAAAGTATCAAGCTTCAATACTGTCTCTGGAAATTGAAAGCAAATTCCAGTGGTGAGAATGAGAAACTATAACAAAAACTAAAATGCATTTAGGAACTTTAATGCATAAAAGCCTCGAATTCCTTTCAACTACACGGGCACTCTACCAACAAATATGCGATCACAGAATGGCACAAAGGTTTACAGATTGGGTAAAGTGCCATTGGAGAGCATTTCTATTATTGCACCAGAAAGACATCCAAGGCACTACTGGGTAAATGCTCTCCAATTCCTGAAGTTCTCATTAGAATTGTAGGCTTTATTCCTTGAAACAAGAAAAAACACTACATAAGTGAAGATGGCTGTAATTCTTTTAATTCAATGTGTCTAATTGAGAACTCACAATCAGTCCCTGATATAAGGGCAAACAAGTTTTACTGGTGAAAAAGTTTAAGTTCATGGCAGTAAAGAAAATATGCATTATTATGAAGCTAGTCAAAAAGGTCAAGTTCATGGCAGTAAATAAAATATTTATTCTACTGCCATCTTATTGTGTTCAATAATACAATTGCATAATTCTAGCATAAAAGATGAAAATGATCACATCTTCGTCGCCTAGGAACAAGAAAGTTTGGTCAATTAATGCGTCAAGTACTTTCAAAGATGAAACGAGCCCAACAAGGACAACATATGATGTTCCCTGTGATATAATTATGTAACAAACATTTAGAATCGAGGGAAATGTTTCAACAAGAAAGCTCTTGAATCATTGAACACAAGATGGCAGTAGAATAAGAAAGCTCTTGAATCATACAGGGAAATATTACTTGTATACCATCATTGAACACAAGATGTGTAGTATTATACTTTGCCATAGAAGTTTAGACACATGCATGCTTTCAAAGAGTCCACAATTACTATAACTTTTTTTAGAAACTTTCAAAGTACCTGAAATCCAACTATTCTGTGGTGAGAAAGCTTTTTCTTCCCTTGCAGGCATACTCGAGAGCCCATTTGCAAGCAATTACCTAAATCAAAGAAATGAAAGAAATAAAGGCATCATGTAGAGTCCAAGCATAAATTATATGAGTAGTCTCGGAGAACTTTAATAAAGACTACTAATCTAATCTGTAAGACTGTAATGGTAGTAGTAGCATGATAAAGCATGCCGGGAAGGATAGGTTCAAGTAGAAGAAACAATTACGCCATTATAGAGACAAACCTCACAAAAATAGACTCACCATAATTATTATTATTATGTGAATAAACGCCAAAACATTGACCATGTCCTACTCGCCACGGACGAGCTGTTTTATCAACAAAGGATGATAGATACTGAACAATATAATGCGGATTTAAAGAATTAAGTAAGGTGAATAAGATTTGAAGTAAAAAGCTAGTAGAAAAAAGAAATTTTTCTCTTTATCAAGGTTAAGGGAAGCTAATCACGAGAAGTGATTTAGTGAGAAATATAAACAGCATGAAAGATCAATACCCTGATTGTTTAGTTTATTTGGGAATTCAAATTCAATCACCCTCCAAACACGCATAATTCCATCCTTGCCAGCACTGGATTAGATACATTACTCTGATTTCGCCATTCTCAAGAACTTGAATTCCTCTACCCACAACCAACTTGGATTCTAGCAAATTACAAGGACTCAAAATGACAGGAAGAGAGTATACATAATTTTTTTTTCCTAATATTGAAAAATCATAACCAATTCTATGGAGGATGAATGAAAACGCTTACATAGTAGAAAGAAAAGAGGACCTAAATCCTACTTGGGGGAAGTGTACTCGTTGATTGTTCTTCCTGCTCATTGATGAAATCCCACTTGGAGGAAGTGTATCGAGGACTTGAGTTATTGAGCTGTAACCGTTGATTGTTCTTCATGCTCATTGTCGTCATCCCTAAATTTTTCTCCATTTTCGCCATTCTCGTTAGGTCTTGAAGACTTCATCTCTCTCTCCCTCCCTCCCTCCACTCTTCTTCCTTTAAGGGTCCGTTTGGAAACCGGAAAATGATTTATGAGTTTTCAGTGTTTGAATACAGTAGGAAAGTTCAGTCAACGGAAAACATTTTCCGTTGACTGGGGAAAATAATAGGCATTTTTGAGAAAAATGACTTGCGCTAAATTGTGGCGTAAGTCTAGTCATTTTCCGCCAACACTTGAAACATGGTTGTCTTCGCTGCCGTCGTTGCCTTCGATTCCTCAATTTCCACCCGTTCCTATATTTTTCAGAATGCAACCAAACACTAGAAAGAACTTTTTTTCCGAAAAATGAGTCATTTTCGGAAAAATATTTTCCAGAAGTCATTTTCCTGTTTTCCAAATGGACCCAAAAATGAATGACTCAATGGCTATTACTTCTTTATATCTCATAAACAATAAAGATTTGGATGAGAATTAGGTGAGAAGATCGAGTTGGGAGAAGAATCTAGAGAAGGGTGTCCGGTAGTCACTAAAATAAATTAATAAATTAATAAAAAAAATAAAAATTAATAAATTAATAAGAGTTGGAAGGTGTTTCAGTACTTGAGCTTCAGGCAGAAGCCGCTTCTGCATATATAAATTCCTTAGTATCCTTAGAGGGGGTCGCCGAGGAGTAAGGCCTAGTCAGGGGATTCGAAAGAGGGTGTTGGGAATTCATGAAAATGAATCTTGGAACGGGAGAGAGTGGTGAGTCGGAGCTTGGCCTGACGGAGATGAGTGGCTTGGCATTCGCCACTAACATTTTAGAAGTGATGTTTCATTGCAAATATAGTAGCTGTTGTTGCAACCGCCACTAAATAAATATTTAGCGGTGGTTATATATAGCTGCAGCTAAATGTGTGTTGATAAATATCCAGTTTTTTTGTAGTGTGCTTAACTACTACACCTAGGAGAAGCAAATGCAATGGCCGAGATGTGAATTCCTTTCTTCATTTGCACAAAACAATTTGAATGTTTCATGTCTTGTAGTTGTCTGAGATTTCTATAAAGAAGTTCACTTGAAATAATATAATCTCTAGAAATAAGAATAAGTAAATAATCCAACGTGGAAGATTGCTCAGCACATAACAATACACACATTCTGCTTATGATCAAAATGAAATTAGTAATGGTATAGGTAATGACACTTGTGAAAAGAAAAAGTACAGAAATCATTGAACTCCCCTAAGGGTTAGAAATAAGTTAATCTACTATGTATGATACAAAATTTCTATTGCAAAAGAAAAAGTACAGAAATCATTGAACTCCCCTAAGGGTCTAGATATATGCACTTGCAAAAATACGAAAAAGACATTGCAATTAGGGTTTCAATTTTAAAGTTTTATGACTGAGTTTTTTATTTTATTTGGTCGTGATTCACTGTTTACTGTTTAAGGTCTAACATTTATGGTTTAGATTTAAAATTAGTTTTTTCGTTGATTTTATAGAATTTACTAGGTTTGCATATTTAGTTGTTAAAGATGGCATATTTAAGTGTTAAAGTTTGCACAATGGATCGGAGTTGATGACAATTAAAAAACTGCCACTGCGTCTTTTAAAAAAAAAAAAATATCTGATCAAATCCATCGAATTTGTATAGACGTAAGGCTGAGATTGGTTCTTATTTCTCTCATATGGAAATTTTCTCACAGAATCCGTAGCCAATAGTCAGTTATCTATGAACCACATTGTTGCTTCGATTGTTCTTGAAAGTGGAATCAAACTTTGGTAGTTCACTGGCTTCTACGACCACCTAGAGAGTGTTGGGAAAATGCAAGTATATGGCCATGATTTTACTAATGATTTAGTCTTGGTCCACTATTCACCACAAGAGTTGGTGAGTAGCCATCAATAAAATATTTATAACACTCCCCGTTGGCCATTAAATAACTATACTCATGCGTCGTTAAAAACCTCGCTAGAAAAATCCCGTGGGAAAAATCTAATCGAGGAAAAGAGTACATGCATTATAAAAATATGTGTTGCATCGGTTGCCTCATTAAAAACCTTAGCCTAATAAAAATCCAATGGGTGAAAAACTTAGCTAAGGAAAAAAGAGTACAACCATAAGTTTTCCGGGCATCATCTTCAAGATTTTTAAGGTCTTCTGGACTGTCTATTCATTTACACTTAGAGTTTATCTGTAACACCCCCAAAACTCTAATACAGGAATATAAGAAATAAAAGGGATAAAGTTCACTTGGATAAAAAGACTTAAAATGCGGAAGCTAAAACCGAACTAGTTTAGGGGTGTCACAATCCACCCACCTTAAAAGAAGCTTCATCCCTGAAGCTAAAATCATTTTGAGGATGTGAAGTCAAGCTGAAGTAGTAATAAACAGAGGGAAAACATTTAAAGAAAACTCGTTTAGTTTTTAGAGAGTTTGACCCCACGAAGGAAAAAGAGGATGAAAGATTTACAATTTTAAACTCAAGGGTAACGCTGGTTAAGAATAATGACAAGATTATCAAGGCTACAATATAAGGCATAAGGTTGTCACCTTTCACATAATCATTTTGAGAGAAAAACGGAAACGAGATTTTGAAATGACAAGGATTTTCAACAAGATAGTATTCGATTATACAAGGAAACAAGGAATTCAGTCTTAAAAGGGAACAAAACTTCGACTTCAAACTAAGAGATAACGCTCAACAGAATAGGATACTGTCCCATAGCCCTAGCAAATGCATTCACAGTCTTAAAATCACAAGTTCCAAGCACTTCCTCAAAACTTGAGCATTCAAAACACTTGCACACACAATGTTGTCCAAATCCCTTCCATACTCTTTACTCAAATAGTTAAACAAATCAGTCCAACATCCAAACTCCATTACAATTAAAATCATTCAAGCCTCCTTTTCTAGTCAAACTCAAGTCCTTAATTAATCATCCAATTACCAAAGAAACGCCACTTATCTTCTCAGAGAGATGCATACCCTCAGGGTTCAATAGCCACATCCACAAAATACTTACAGTAGAACACAAAACGCAGAATCACAACTTACAACTTAAGTAGATAAGGTAAAAACACAACCTCACTCCAATAACCTAAAGAGCTAAAAACTCCTAAAACTTCAAATTTAAATTCCTTATACTTAGGTTCTCAAAACCAAATCAACTTCTATTTCCAAATCATATTACTCAAACTCCTATCATTAGGCTCCTATATCCTAAGGTTAACCTAGGCTCTTAAAGTCAACTTCTTAACATCCTAGGATTCTAACCTAGGGCTCTGATACCAACTTTAACACCCCCAAAACTCTAATACAGGAATATAAGAAATAAAAGGGAAATAATGGGATAAAGTTCAATTGACTTAAAATACTGAAAATGCGGAAGCTGAAACCAAACTGGTTCAGGGGTGTCACATTATAGCTCCCCCTGAAGACAATAGTCTTTCAAGCCTTCGCATCCTGATTTTATAAACATATTTCTCAAAGGTAGATGTAGGCAGGGATTTAGTGAACAAATCTGCTAGATTTTAACGAACCTTTTCAACAAGTATCTCACCACTCTTCTGGAGTTCATGTGGCTAAAATAACTTAGGAGCAATACGTTTTGTAAGGTCTCCTTTAACGTACCCACTACTCATCTGTGCAACACATGTCACATTTTCCTCATATAGGACAATGGGGGAATCAACTTTGCTCATTGTACCACATGAGCTATGGATATGTTGTATCAATGACCTCAACCATACACATTCATGTGAGGTTTCATATAAAGCAATTATCTCCGAGTGATTAGATGAGGTAGTGTAAAAGATGTAGTTTTAGTGGTGTGATGGAAAGAAGTGTGGGAATAAAGATTCCTGGGTTATCGTATTCAAGGAATGATAACTTGGAAGTTTGAGAAAGGGTCACGGTGAGGTGGATCTAGCTTTTGAGGTTCTTGATTTAGAATGTGGTTGTGAGTAATCGGTTAGAGAGGTAAGGGAGAAAAGCTTTGGAAAAAGGAAATTGAAATAATAAAGTGAAATAGATTAGGATTTTCGTGTCGATTGCTATGTGTGTTTGGCTTATTCCCATAATATGGGAGATTGTGTTGATTGAATGTTGGGTTACAAGTCAAGAGGAATGCACTAGCACGTAGCCATTACGGTCTTATATGCCTCTCGTAGCAGGATATGACACGCTAGTTCTCATATTCTCTATGGGGCATTTTAACAAACACCTTGCCTACATTCCTTCTCGGACCATGTCATCTCGGATCTAGGGCGGGGAATGTAGAAGAATCAAGGGGCTCACCTAGGTTTAGCAATCTCTTGCCTAAACCTAGGAATCCAAATCATCCAAGGAGTTGGGCCCCACTCCATGGAAGCTACAATAGATCATCCTCCAGAACAAGACATTTATAACCTCAACAAGCAATCTTCACAATATAACAAATCAATGCAAGCCAAACATCACATAAGCAATTTACACTACAATCCTAATCTCTAGAATTTAGCCACTCATGATCAAGATAAACAATTTAGGCATTTGTAAGATAAACATCAAAATAAGCAATAAAATAGAGTAGATCAAGAGTTTACCCAAAATTGCAATGCTAGATTGTCAAACCAAAGGATTAGAAGTGAAGATCTTGCAAGGGAATGCTTGGATCTCCCCTTCCTCTTACAAAATTGATAGAGTTCTAGGGCTAAAATCTAGTGAGAGAAAATTTGGGAACTAACCTAGATCTAAAATTATGAAAAACTCTCTAAAATTAGTCTCAAAACTTCTCTCTAAAAATGCAGCTCCTCCTCCAAAATGAGGCAAAAATGCCTTAAATCCGCTCAGTCTCTCATTCGGCTACCTATTTATGCCGTCACTACGTAACACCAGCGTAAATGGGAAATAATTCCCATTCCGCGCGCATTTGCTTCAGCTGGATTACGTCGTCCTCACGGCGTGAGGACGACGTAATTGGGAAATAATGCTCCTTTTGCTCCGCCTCACGTTCGTGCCTTGCGGCGTGATAGGGTTTGGCATCTTCACATCTCCGTCACACCGTGACTCGGGCATGACCGGTGCTTTGGCGCACGCTTTTCTGGATTTTGCATTTTTTTTATCCTTCTTTGCCACTTTTCTCGTCCCAAAATACCTAAAAACATAAAATGTACATTTGGGAAGGTCTCTTTGTGCTAAATCGTGTTTTTAAGATAAAATTACTATAAAGCACACGACTTTAACGCTAAATTATGCATAAAACACCTTTGAAATGTCCTTAAAACAAGCGTTATTTTGACGCTTATCACAAGTTTCCAAACTTTAGTTTGCTTGCCCTCAAGCAATCCACATTTAAGACCGATAAGCTCAAAAGATACTCTAATCACATCTTTGACAATCAGGTGATTCTTTTCAGAAGGTTGTGCGAGAAAAAGAATAAAAGTGAAATCCATTACATTATAAAGAAAATGTGAAAATCGCACAACATGCAGCAACTTGTGGAATATTCGAGAAAATTGATAGCCCTAAAAGGTAGAACATTTAAGTAAAAGGGCGACACACTCTATATACCAATTTCCAAGCATGCAATCAAAAATTGGGAATTCACCTTCTATTTTGCAAGGGCCTAGAGCCGATCCCACTAGTGGGAACGATGTACATACACCAATCCCTTTCCAACCTTATATGCCAAGACTTAATTAAGATAATAGTGAAGTATGGCATGGACCGTTCTTCGCTATTGGCTTAGTGCGGGCACTCTATTTTCTCATCCCCTGGAATCGTTACTAGGCGACCCGACTTCACATGGAGTTTCATGCTTTTTTGAAGACAGTCCAACGGGTGCCCAGTTTCCAGCGGGGTGGCTTCCCTCCTCTCTCTCTTCACATCTCCTAGGACACCGCCATTGGGGCAACCAACTTCACGTAGAGCTCTACATTTTTTCGAAGACAGTGCAGTGGAATTACCGCAGCCCCTAGCGAGATTTCTCACCTCATTTCTTATTCTCAAGGAGTGGCCATTGTTTTTGGTCTTGCCTTTTTCGTCTTCATTTACATACTTCGATCTCTCACGCTTTTTTCTTTGGGTTTAGGGAAATTTTTCTCTCAATACCCACCAATAAGGATCACATTTTGCCCCATGCCACACGGAATTTTTGTTCAATTCCATGTCTTGCTATCTTATATTTCTAAGTTGGATAGTGCACACTCCCACTTCGAGTGATCGTTTACTAAGGTCCCAACAAAATAAAAGGTGAACTTTCATACAAGCGTGCAACAAAAGTAATCCCATTTGGGTTCTATACAATCCCTATGGTGTAAAGAGGTAATTTTCCAGATATTCCATAAATTAAACTGATTGAGGCATCATAAATCACATTTTCAAAATAATGTAACTAATTTCACATTTTTCTACTCACACACGGTCTTCTATCATGCATCACACAACAGTAAAAAAAATCAAATTTAAAGCACAAATGTGCGTCCTTTCCACACTCTAGAACGAACATCGTCCTCGATGTTCACATACAACCTAAGTGGAGACGCACTAAACTTAAATTTCAAGAAGGGTGTCCCTTTCCACACTTTAGGAATAAACATTGGGACTCAAGGGACAAATATTCAAGATAACTGATAAAGCCTAGTAAAGATTATAACACAAAGATGCCTTTCCACACTTTAGAAATAAAAGCTGGTCAATGATAAAGGATTAGAGAAAACCCCCCTTTCTTTAAGAGATTTCCTCAACTTGTCGTTAAGAGTCTTCGCCACGGCCTTTCTATGGACAAAACAGATAGACAATGAAAGCGTTAGTGGCAAAATGATAGGTGTAGTTTTAAGTGGGGTGGAATGTGTGAAAGAGTGTAAATGGACGTGTAGAACTCTCGAGTGTTGAACTCAAGGATGGCCGTTCGGAGCAAGTGAAATTCAAGACAACCTAGTTGTCACAACGTGTCAACGAGATTAACTAGGTACTAGGTGGGGGTGTTGGTAGTTGTGTGTGGAAGTGAGAAACATAAGAATGTGAAGGAAAATAAAAGAAACAAATATGAACAAGTAAAACGGGGATTTGGGTTTGTGCACTCATTGATCCTTAGTAGACAAGAGTGGGTGTATGGCTTGGCTAACCTAGGGAGACCTAAGGCACCTTCATTAGGATGCGTAGGACCTAGTCTCCCGTTCCCTACCTCAGGCGAGGCATTCTTTCAAACACTTGGTGGGCAGTCTACTGTCTCCTCCCCTAAGCTCACCCTCTCGGGTCATAAGAAGGGGATTGCAAGGGCATGACTAAGGAGAGTGCAATCTCTTGCTAAACTCCCACTCTCACACTCATCTAACCATTGGAGCTCACAATGGAAAGAGATCAATATGCACTCCTCTACAACAAAGGCATACAATGCCAATACATACAACCAATCTCATCTTTCATGCATTCAAAGCATAAGAACACAAACACAATCCAATACCAATCCAAATCCTAGATGTCTAGCAATTCATCATCATTTATAAGATCACAAAGCACAAATTAGATATGAAATATGAACAAGGAGAAGAAATGTTACCCAAGTCTTCAATCTAGATGATTGTAATCCAATAGTAATGTTGAACAATGAATTCTAGGTTTGGAATGTAAACCTAATCTAATAAAATGAAAAGAAAAGATAAACCCTAATCTAACCTAACCTAAGGGAGCTGAAATGAAAGGTAAGGAAATGGGAAAAAGGAAAGTCTCCCTAAGTGATCCCCTTACAAGCCTTTAAATAGGCTTAAAATCTGAAATTTCATTTAAGTGTCCCGTCCACGCACTTTGCAACGCTCGTTTTGAATTTCGTGGATTTTTCTGGAATTTTTTCCCTTCACAAAAGTTGTAGCCCTTGAAGTTGCCGAACCATAGCCACTTGAATCACCTCATTTGGACACTCCTAGCTCAAGATATGATCATTCTACCGAACTGTCGCTGAAATGCCCTAAAATTGATAATGTTTTGCTATTTTTCTACAAATGTAACATAAGTGACAACCCAAAATTTATTTTCCTAAATTCTATTTTATAAAATTTTAAAATAATTATTTTTACTCCTTCGAAATTTTTTATTAAATAGGTGTATGAATTAAATATTTTAAATCATGATTTTTCTGAATTCAACACCAAGTAGTAGCCTATTTCGAAAATCCTAAGTATTGGGTATATTCATGTATCAAGTTTTGACCCAAAAAGTCAATCTGAGTGAAACTTGAGAGAAACCTGTGAAATCTGAATCAAATGATTTTACTTAGGAATATTCTTATAAGAAATCTATTTTATCTCCAAAGATGTATAAACCCATTTTATTACCATAGCTTAGTTAAAAGGAGAAGCCTGATATTTTTCTAAGGTCAAAGGACCAAATTGTCCTTCTCAACCAACATTTCACCTAGGGTTTCGTACCATATAAAAGGAACACCATTCATTCTTTCATTTCAGCAGCCAACACTTCTCCTTTAGCAGATCTCTACTCTCTCGTGTATCTCCTCCCTCTATCATCATCTTCTTCATTCCTTCAACAGAGACTCAAGTTTTGGGAGTAAGCTTCTTCATTTTCTCATTTCTTCTCCTTCGTTTCTCTTCTTCCTAGCTTCTAATCACAGTGAATGTGTATGTATATATTTGTGTGGTTATTTTGGTGGTCTTAGAGTTCTAGAGGGTGAAGATAAGACCTAGCATGGGGTCATAGAAGATAAGCTTTTGAGGTTGAAG